TATGGTCTCATTAGAGAATAATAGTTTATAGATATTTTTATCTATATATTATGGTTTTAATCGGAATCATATAAGTTTGATTATCAGTAGTAGTTAATACAGAGATATTTTGGGTGTAACAGTAGTGAAGATATGAATGATAAGGAATCATGTGTGATGCTAACTTTAGCCGTTATTTATACATATATATTCTAACCGAAGGGAAAAAGATTGATGCTTTTTCACAGCTTATGTTCAATATTGAATTCAAGCAAATTACCACCGTATAGGATAATTTCCCAGTACCGAATTGATCCTTATTGATCATATTAAGCAAGGTTTTGATCGTATATATTGAGTGAATTTTTCTTGTACTGCACTATCAGTAAGTAAAGTAATCCACATATTTTCTGAACGAAGAAATCCCACAAGAAAAGTCAGTTATTATTTTTAAAAGCAAACTGGCACATGGTGAATCCACTTCACTTATTTGAGAAGTTGCATCAGCCCCAATGGGCTGGATCTCTGACGAAATCTCAGCACGGATGCAAATGGTTAGTCTAGCATATTTGCCAACTTACTTCATTTCTGGAGTAAAAATGACTCCCGGCTATCTACCAAAGTATGTATGTACTGCTTAGCAAGTCCGCCTTGTCATCCTTTATGGCTATGAGACGTGGTCATTGGAAGTGTATGGAATGAAAAGGCTAGCTGTCTTCGACTACAGAAGTTTACGTTTCATCCCCGGTGTTATTAGGTATAATTTGGTGAGTAATAATGATGTGAAACGTGGAGTGTTGGGTAAACGATTCGGTTGTGAAGTTGAGTTGATTGAGATGGCTAAAACACCTGTTGCGCACGCTGAGCCATCGCCTTCCTCGACGAGCAGTGTTATCTGAAAAGAGTTAGAGTTTGTCAAACCAAAACCGTTCGTCAGACCATGAAGTCTTTGACTCTTTTTCATCTCTCATATCAATTACTCTTTTGTCTGCCTCACATTTCTGCTTATTATAGTTCTTTTGAATCTCTTCCACCCTCTTTTCTTTACTTTTGTGTGCTACATGGAGTATGGCAACTTGTGTACAAAGTTCTTTGTTGAAAGTCAGTCAGTCAGATTACGAGTAATGATAACTGTACCGCATAAAGTAATCGGATGGCAATATCATGAGAAGAGAAATAAAACAGTTGGGGGGATGTGGCAGAGTGAAATGGATCAGGAAAATGAATGAAAGAAGCAAACCAAAGATCTCCATTCTAGACAACATCTGGTAATTTCTAAAGACACTTGGTGGCATGATCGCTCTGACTGCGTTTTAAGGATTCGTGACGCACCAGTAGATGCTCACCCAATACAACTATCCTTAATTCACGACACAACGTCAGAAGTTGGTCACTTTTTTGTTTTTTTCCCCGTCAAGTCTCAAGGTGGTCAAACATTGAATGGTGTGAAAAGCAATGGAATAACATTCATATAGCCTGTTTATTCCAGTGGTCATATATTATGTCATGTACTTCTACGTAACGTATGACGCAGTTATTTATAGATAACTTCACTTTAAACGACGGGATTTCTGACGACTTATTCAGATAGGAATAAATAAAATATTTCTGTTTTCATTGTTAGTGTAATTAATTATTAATTAATTAACAGATTTGAGTTGTGTTCAAAGAAATTATTATTATTATTCCCTTGGATTCCGAGTGGAACCTACGGCTTCGACAACACATCTCCACTATGTTCTATTTTCTACCGTCCTCTTCAACTAGGTCCACGATTGCCCATAATCTCTCATCTTCTCTTCGTACGATCTCCTCCATGTCACACTCGCACCGACGACCCACTCGTCGCTTCCCATTTGGATTCCATTAGAGGGCGTGGGGCGCGATTAGTATGATACATTTCTCTGAAAGAGTATAACCTGTCTACCTTCGACATACGCTCAGAAACTCTAATGCCTGAGCGAATTCTGTCTCTGTTCTGCCCGTTTGGCATTCAGCTGATTTACGTATCACAGTGTAACCACCATATTCAAAGGGGGATTGAAGTCTCTTGATATCGTTCCGTAGTGTCAACTAATAAATCTACAATATTTTTTTAAATTATAGCATATACTGTATAGCACAATTTTCCTGGTAACTTTTAATATCTGTGCACAATATAACTTCAGCAAAATTTGTGACTTAAGCTAACTGTGCGTCGGTAGCACAGCGGTTAGGACTCTCACCGACCATGCACATGGTCCGGGTTTCGATCCCCTGCCGATGCACACCTGATATCTATGGTCGCTATGCAAAATTTGGGCTACCGATATCATATGCTGAAAATTCCATACTTGTACCAAAAATACGGTGTGGCTTCAAGCTATAATCAAAAAAACATTTATTCGTTGAGAAATACAATCTGTTCACATTGTACGTTCTGTAGCACGTGTTACATATTTTCTTCTTTAACAACTGGTAGTGTATTGATTGTGTAAAGTTGAATGTGAAGTATCAAAGAGTCTCGATGAACTTTAGAATGTCTGAGAATTTAAACAGTATGTTTCTGTACACAACCATTTGTGTAATTATTCACAGATACTTTAAATTAGAGTATTTTGAATTAAGAGAAAAAAAAACAACTCATGAAGGTTCACAGGTAGGATGTCCTCCAGCCACGCAAGTGGTTCGAGGTTCACTTCCCGGTTGACTCACTCTTCAACCTCACCTAATGGGCAGTGAGTCTGGTAAAGAGTGAAGGTTGGACGCAAGGCTAACAATTTCATCTTGTGAAAACAACACGGGTGTCAAGGAACTTAACCCTAAGTTCCTATTATTTGCGAAGACGCTCCGAACCGATAATTACTAGGACTTTCTCGACTTTAACTCCAAAACACCAGTACTTTAAGAAAGTTATATTGTTTGGCAATTAAAGTCTAGATAGTTACAAGTCTATAAACAAATGTTTACAATAAATATAATGTACTTTTATTCGTATTCTTTCGTCTTCTTCCAACTTGTACACGATTGAACCATTCGCGCCTTCGAGTTGCCCGCCAATGGCTACCAGGGTCAATAAACAAGCGTTCAATATTCGCGTCCATTGACAACGAGTGTTACTAAAACTTTAAAGCTTGAAGGTGACTTTATAAAGTATCTTTGGTAAAACGGTTATACGTTACTGTATACATTTTACATGTATACTATTATGGGGGAAAGTATTATCAATTTTAAATGAACAAGATGACTATCGTAGACATCTACGCAACTGAACACTTGCTTTTCATCATATACACTCTCAAATTACCTAAATATACACTGAATGAAAAGGGGTCTGTTTCTCCGAAATATTTTTATGCTTCAAGTAGATTGTACAAATTGAGAAATAAGCACTGGTGTAGGACAACTTGTAATTTAGTTAGTTACACTCACGCCTTGGCTGCTAACTCCTATTTGAAGCATTTAAACCTTCACTTTCATTTTTACACTAACTGACCGATCAACTGTTATGGCATGTTATATTTTTACATGACTTAGGACGAAATCACTTCGGCAAAACATCTTTTCTCTATGGAGTACTTTTACTTCACTTGTTTCTTTCTTAATTAAAGTTAGCGTTTTTAAAATTTCAGCTGATAGAGAGAGAGAAAGGGTCATCTTCTGAGGCTGTGAATCATATTACAATATTTTGTTGTTGTTATTTTTAATTGATGCATTTTCTTTTTGAAAGGAAAAACAGCATTTGCAAACTGCTCAGTACACATGACAGATGTCAGGAAATCAAAATTATTCATATCGAAATGAATGACTCATTCGATATTGGAAGTGGTGATGACCGATGCCGGGTTTTAGTTTGACAGGTAGTCTGAGCCACGTAGGGAAATGTAGACTGTCTGATTGGGGTCTTCTGGATTATAATAACCATTAACTGAAGACTATTCGTGGTATAGCTCAAAATAGTTCTGACTGGTGCAGAGATACATTCACACTTTGTGATATCTCCTATCCATTAAAGCCTCATGTTTTCCCATGTTACTCTTCTGTCTCGCTCATATTTCTGCTTATTATAGTTCTTTTGGATCTGATGATATTAGGTGGTTGGAGGCAATCGGCAGGAAGCCATACTTGACCTAGGTTTCATGCTAGTTTGCACTCACCAGCTAGCAAGACGTATCTAGAACCTTGAAGAAACTCATGTCACTTCTGAGACTCGAACCCGCGTCACCCAGTCCTGCAGTCGGAGACGTTGCCACTGAGCTAGTCGGACAGGTGATTGGCATCCTTCCTGTAGGACTGTATTGGATACTTTGATTGGACACTAGTAGCTAGCGTGGTGTGTCTAGTCCTTTGTTTGGTGCAGACTGAATTCTGTCAGTGAGGTTTGCAATGTGGCCACCATTCTAGGTAGGTTGCCATCAAGGTTACAGGTACGCCTTGCTGACTGGTGAGTGCCAACTAGCACGAAGTCTAGGTCAAGCAAGGCTTCCTGCTGATTGCCCCCAACCATGTAATGTTATCAAATCAATGTGTATAGTGATGGCGAGCTACCTGGAACGTTGGCCACATTACAGACCTGACTGATAGAATTCAGTCTGCACCAAAGAAAGGACTAGCCAGACACATCACACTAGTTACTGACTACCGTCCAGTCAAAGTATCTTTTGGATCTTTTTCTCTCTTTTCTTTACCTCTGTATGTTGAACTTATGTGCAAAGTTCTATGTTGAAACTCTATCATCAGAAGTGATATCCACACTCATATCTACCGGTTGTGTTTATTCGCTACATCGAAGTAGTTGAAACATGGCAGTATTCTCGGCTTTTTTATGCGCTGAATTATTTCAAGCGCAAAGCTGATTACTTGTGAGATAAATAATATAAATAAGTAGTATTATTTTACAAAGTTTTATTTTGTTTCACCCCCCCCTCCCCGTCAACACCAGTATGTCAATGGGTAATAAAATTTCATAGTCTACTGTATGACATAACATCAAAAGTCAATTTTTTTTCCTTCTTTAATTCATTTATGTATATCTACAACAGATTCGTTAAACTTCTTCCCCGAAGATATACAAACTGCACAAGAAAATCAATTATCTGAACGCAATGAAGTATTTTCTGTGCTGACTAGTCCACAACGTGAAACAATGGCAGAAGAGTTGGCTGGATTTCTTGCTGAAAAAAAGTTATTTATGCGTGAAATAGTGAAATGGGATGATTCAACTAATGATATTATAATATTGGCCAAGAAAATGTGTATCATTATGATGGAGATGACAGATTTTATACGTGGTAAAGGTCCTTTACGATCGACTCTTGATGTTATTCAGGTAAGTTAAATCAGTTGTTGTTGTTGTTGTAATGTCGAACCCCGGTGAGTGCGTACTGATGAAGAGTCCCAAACTAGGACGAAACGGCTGTCCAGTACTCCCAGGTTTTCCAGTGGTTCTCTAACCAATGTTAGATCATGAGGAAATCCTGTAACCAATCAACCAAATCCCTACAAACTAATACTTGAATAGTAATGTCGAAATGTTTTTGTCATTAATATGTATTACTTCTTATAATATATCTATCTATCTGTTTGTCTTTCTGTCTGGAATCACACTAACTCATTACTGGAGTCTATTAAAAGTCGGGTGTATTGCTCAGTAAAATAATGCTCTGAAGGTCGGTAATTTGAGCACCCTTTGGATATTTGATCACACTTGCCATCTTAGAATCAAAACTATCTATATATGAATTATACTGTGATGAGAGCCGCCTGCAAGCCAAAATTGGTAGACAACAATTTACGTCAATATTTTCGTCCCGAATCGAGGTCATGAGAAAAAACAATAACGAAGCTTAACCTTGGGGAACTCACCAACCAATCAGAGCAGACTTAACGTGTGCAAATACGATTCGCAGATACATGGCTTAACTTTCTAAGAAACGGTCACAAGCAGTACAGGATAACCTTCAGCCAAAAAAACAACCAATCAGAAGACGTTGCTTCTCTGCTAACAATCTATAAATCCCTCTTGATTTTCTCAATAAACGATCTGTTGCCTGTCAGTTGGCTTCTGTCGTTACAATACTACCTCACTTTAATATTCTGGTCTAAATTTTATTCATCAAATCTGAATTGGTAGTTGTTCCACAAAACTGGGGTTTAAATTTGTTAACCGAAAATGGACAGTCATTTGATTTCGGAGTGGTTTTGATAGCTGCTTGACGGACAGCATAATTTTCTCTTGTTTCGTAAAATTTTCAGGCAGCTCAAGAAATTTCAGAGCATGGTAAACGTTTAGATCGTCTTTGTCGTCATATTGCTGAGATGTGTCCTGATTCAGCTAGTCGACGAGATCTATCAGCCTATCTACAACGTGTTACATTTTACTGTCATCAGTTGAGTATTACAAGTCGAGTGAAAGCTGGTGTACATTTGCTTAGTGATGAAGTTGTAAGTTTTCTGTTGTTGTTGTTTTTTTGTGCCTTAGAGTTATATCATTTTGTATAATTTATGGGTTTTTCTTTGTCATATATATGTACATCTAAATAATTCTTAACAGCTTAATCATAATGTGTCTGTTATCTTCAAAACTCATTCACAATCATTCTTTGCCAGTAGTTGGCTGTATTCGTCAAAAAGTTAAAATACAATACAACTTACCTGTTTTATTGACTATAATGCACAATCGAATGTTAGGAGAACTTAGTTTTAATGATATTAGATGGTTGGAGGCAATCGGCAGGAAGTCTTGCTTGACCTAGGTTTCTTGCTAGTTGGGACATTGCAAATACCTGACTGATAGAATTCAGTCTGCACCAAAGAAAGGACTAGTCAGACACATCACACTAGTTACTAGTGTCCAATCGAAAGAACTTAGTTTATCAATGGAAAGTATGGCAATTTATGCCATTTGATATATGCCTGCATTCTAAGGTTCTGCAATAGTAAGGATTGATGTTTAAACACTTTAGTTGCCCCATTAGGCTCCCACATTGTAATTTCACCTTATTACCATGTTCTTCATTGATGGGGCTTTTGAGAGTTACTTTTCACATGAGTTATTTTGTGGTTACCTATAAATCTTTAGGTGTCTTCGTTTTGAATATTTCACAAAGCCTTTTAATCGCACGATTTCAGGTCATTTATAAAATACACTAGCGAGTACTTCTCATTTTATAGTACTCCAGTATGTATGTGTGGCGTGTGCTACTGATAAGATTTATTAGTAGTATAGAAGATTTGTAGCTCAGGTGGATGATTTGCAAATAATAGTGTTCTCTGAGCTGGTTGGTTTAGTTGTGGAGCATTCGTCGTCCTTCTGGACAACAACAAGCATATAGAAAATCAACGCCCACACACAGATCAAATACTCAACTATACTAGCAATAATCCAATTACTCACAAACGAAACTGTGTGCAGACATTGTTTAAAAGAGTTCAAACACATTGTAGCACTCCAGAGTTGAAAAGAATGGAAGGAAAATACCTACAAACGGTCTTCAAAAAGAATGGTTATCCACAAAATTTCATCAAAAAGTGTTTAAAGTCGAATCAAAACAGCAACAAAGAACCATCATCAAAGACCCCAAGAAAATTCATCCTACCATGCATGAGAAATATCTCTGAAATAACAGCTAGAATACTGAAACCGTTTGATATAGATATGGCACACAAGCCAGTCAAATCACTTAATTAGATATTATGCAAACCGAAAGATCCAACAGAAAAAGGAGATAAAATTAATACCATTTACAAAATAAATTGTATGAACTGTAACAAGCATTACATCGGCCAAAGTGGGCGTCCACTTCGAATTAGAATCCAAGAACACAAATCAGCCATGAAAAGACACGATATATATTTTTTAGTATCAATGCGTATAGACAATTACGGACATCAATTTGATTGGGAAGATGTCAAAATCTTAGACAGAGGAAACACCAAAAGTGCAGTCGGGGAATTCCTAGAAGCCTGGTACTCAAACGAAAATGCAATTAACAAACACGTTAATATAGACGAAATATACCAACCAATAAAAAGTGAATCAGGTAACCGGAAAGTTTAAAATGGTCAATACATATGTAAAGATGGTTACCGGAGACGCAATTATATCACTCATGAAAAATTTAAATAATTTCACTTTATGCTAAATATTGCGCTGAAGGGGAATGTTGTCCAGAAGGACGACGAAAGCTCCGCAACTAAACCAACCAGCTCAGAAAACACTATTAATTGCAAGATTTATCAGTAGTATATAAAAGGACGTTCATTGGCATAAAAATATCAAATAGCAGGGAGATACATTTGATGTCAGAGGAAGAAAATGATAATACAGCGTTGTGGAGATACATGGGAGACGTGAAAGGAACACGAAGAAACACAATATGAAGACCAGAAGTAAAACAACACGGAAGATCTGTACAAATATTACATTGAAGATAAGGTGTACATAATTTGGCTATATAGAGAGATACCAAATTGCAAATAAACATTCCTTCTCCAGTCTTTCGTCTTCTACCGTCGCACTTGCAGTATATATTGTCAAAAATCCAGTAAACGTAAACAGAACACTAGTTTTTATGCTTAGCGGTATAGATTCTTACTATCACTCCATTATGGATAAAATTGTATTTTGGTAAAATCAAACAGTGTTTATTATTATACAGTAATATCCACTGATGACCACGTTTCGAGCACAATTTATTGCCACTCATAATCATATCAAGGTACTCACTCAAACAACTTTCTTGCTTCATTTATATACATGAGTAAAAATTGATGATTAGACATTTGAATAAAATCGATATAAGATAAATTATATTCGGAAATAACAGCAATATCACTAAGTAGTACAATAAGAAAACCTAAACGATGAAATGAAACAGACAGAAGAAGCGTTGGTGTTAAATGAGTATCCTATAAAATTCATTAGGAAGATCAAAAAGGTCAAAAGCACAGTAAAAATAATAGTGAAACTATTAACGATAACATAAATAAGAGAGAATATAAGGCATCTACAGCTTTACCATATAAGGAGGGGACATCTGAGACTCCGCGTAGGGTTTTGAATAAAGCGGGAGTAAGCGTGGCGTTCAAAGTTACGAACTCACTGAAGTAGGATAAGCTCTGAAGGTTAAAGTACCCGGTAGACCCAATTAAACAAAATAATATAATTTACAAAATACCTTGCAATGACTGTGAGTTAGGTGAACTACATAGGCGAAACTAGTTGGTCAGGGGTAGTCAGATTATCAGAACATAAGAATTTACCTAAGTTTAGAATGTTTGATCCCACTCGCGAAGGTAAGTAACTTAGAAAAAACTCAGCTATAGCACTCCATGCATTAACACACAACCACACAATAGGGTGAATGGGACAGATTCAAAATTTTAAAGAGTAATATAGGCAGGTGAAGAGAGAGGTGGTTGATTACTGAATCCTGCTTGGTTCATCGAGTCTACACCCAACACAGGCAATAGAAGTGACTCAATGCAAATACCAGAGATATGGAAGATATTATTACCAGTCAAATCAGAGGAGGATAATAAATAATCTTAAAATTCTGTTTCAATTCACATACATTATAACATTTTAACAAGCTATGTATTTTACTATAAAACACTTTATTTCCCATCTGATTGTAATTGACCAATAACACTCCTATTGTTATTCCTGAATGTACTTTATCTCATATTGATTTTTATTCAATTGTCTAATCATCAATTTCTACTCATGTATATAAATGAAGCAAGAAAGTTGTTTGAGTGTGAGTGTCTTGATATGATTATGAGCAGCAATAAATTGTGCTCGAAACGTTGTCATCAGTAAATATTACTGGATAACGAACACTGTTTGATTTTATCGAAATACAATTTTATCCATAATGGAGTTATACTCTGCTATAGTGCCCAAGTTTTATCCTTATATCAGTAATTCTTGCTATCAGTTATGGCTTGAAAATATCAAAGGAAAGTTAGTAGTGTAATATCACTAAAGAATATGTACATAACACAATTTTATGCATTTACGGATGACATTTATTTATGCAATGGTTTAGAGTGACTTTATCATTAAATTTTTTCAACTATTCACAAACACAGATACTTGCAAATTTCATTTTTTGGGGGGAGGGGTGGAGGTAAGATTTGACAAATGTCAACAAATATAAACCTGATAATCTGCATAAATTAAACTTGTTTAAATCTCACCAACAATTCCTGTTTTGTTTGTTTGGTATTAACTTATAACAAGTGCTGATTTGGGTAAACCGACAACTATAATCATCTGGCTTATTCATAGAAAAATGAAAGAGTCTGTAAAGGAAATCAGCCGAGGGAACAGTTTGATGAATATTAAGATGTTGGTAAAATGAAAAAATAGGTTATTCAGTATTATAATGACTTAATGGTTAACTGCCAACTCCAATGTTACTTGAAATGCGTCGGTGGCATAGCGGTTAGGACGTTCGCTGACCATACACATGGTCTGGGGTTCGATCCCCGACCGACCAACACCTGTATATCAACAGTCAGCCTGCTAAAATTTGGGCTACCGATATCACATACTGAAAATTCCATACTTGTATCAAAAATACTGTGTGGAGTCAAGCTATAATAAAATATAAAATAAATAAATAAATGTACATAATACAGTGGGACCCAGTGGCTTAATGGTATACGAGCTCGCCTTGTAACAAGAAGGTCCTGGGTTCGAATCCCGGTGGGTGCGTACTGCTGAAGATTCCCAAACTAGGACGAAACGACTGTCCAGTACTCCCAACAAAGTGTGCGTCGGTGGCATAGTGGTTAGGACTGTCGCCTACCATGCACGTGGTCCGGGGTTCGATCCCCGGCCGACACACTCCTTAACATCGCTAAGCCAGAAATAATGCTGGTAAAGAGGAAAGGTTAGGCGTGACGCTAGCAACCCCATCCTGTAAAATAAAATAAACACTGCTACAGAAACTTCAAGCCTCTAGCTTGAAGCCCTATGTTCCACTGGGGAACGTGAAGGAAAAAAATACAGTAGTTTTTCGACTGATGATTTACCTGCGTCTACATTGAATATCTTTGGTTATACTGTTGAATGATTAATGATATTGTGAGTCTAGTATCATTATCTATCAACTAATGAATGACTCGTGAGTGTAGAAGACACTTCCCTTCATCTACAAAAAGTTTGAGCAACTGGATCATATTGTCAAATGTAGCCAAGTGTCAGTAGCATGGACATGATTACCTACCGAGTAGCAATTCATTTTTCATTTAATCCGACGTAAATGTTTTAAAACGCTGTTTGTTTATTTATCTCTTCTGTTTGTTTGTTGGTTTCCTCAGGCGCTGTATTCTTAGTATAACTCATATTGTTTCAATACTACTGCCTACATAACCATACCCTAATCTGTTGGGTGAATATTTTCTAATGTTAAAATTCCTTGTACTATATAAATATAAATATACGAAAATATTTGTTTCATTAATTCCTCTAGTTCGACTTCTTTTAAACCATCATTTTGTGTAAAGTTAATCGCATAAATGATATTAAGACTCTATAAGATGTGGACCTAACCAGCAACACCAAGTACCAATCCCTATGAATGGGAGAAATTTGAAAGGAGTTACCTCTCACTTATCTAAGGAACATCGTCTCTACTACAGGTGGTAACATGGATGGGATGATGATGTCGAAGCCAGTCTGAATTGGAAAAGCAAGACTGACCTTTACTACTCTGAAATCAGTGTGGTAATTGCCTGCACTCTCAGCATGAGGAAAAAATAAGGGTTCTCAACTCTAACGTTGAGTTGGTTCTCTTATACGATTCGGATGCGTCACGGAAAGCATTGCCAACAACGGGTGGAAGACCTTTATTTACAGCTATCTTCACTTACTCGATACTGAAGATCAAATGGCCGACCAGAAAGGATTAGCAACAGGAATCTCTGGTAAGTGACGAACCAACCAAGAACTTATCACCTAACAAGTATGTCGCAGGAAATGGAGTTAGACTGGACACACGGTGAGGGAACTGTCTAGTGACATCATGACCAGTGCAGGCCCTCTAGTGGAACTCGAATAGGAAACGACCAGTTGGGTGTCCGGGATTAATATGGAAGAGGTGAAGCTTATCAGCCAGCTAATAGATATGGACAGGATGAAATGGAAGTGTGGTTGTGAAGTCTTATGTTCCGATCTTAACATGTATTGTTATTATTGTTACCTTTAATTCCTAGAGGAACATAGGGCTCCACGTCTGCTCACATGCTTTCATCTCCTCTTCTCATAACCTCCTTCATGTCGCCTTCGCACTGACGACCAACTCGCCGCTTCCCAGTCAGTAGGGTTCCCTTCGAGTGATGGATGGTGTGATATTACTTGATGATTTGCTTTCTCAGAGTATGGCTAATCCAGTCCACCTCTATTTCTTCCTGCATATTTGTTACACAATTGGTTCCTGCTGGGTTGATTCGTTCACTGCCAGATATCCTTGTTGCTGATCTTTTCTGGTCATACGTTCTTGAGTATTGAGCGATTTTAACATGACGGAATAATAATAATAATCTCCTAAATGAATGTTCGTTCCTCCATTTATTTTAAACCATGCTTAGTTTTATGGCTTTCATTTTACCTGATAAAGTGTTGTGGTGATTTTTTGTGTGGATTTATACATCTATTTATTTAGTGCATGCTTATCATGTGTTGTTGTATTAGGATTATCGATTTCAGAATCTCGAGTACATTTACTAAATTAGTTATTCATAAACACATGTAACACTATAGTATACACTTTCATATTTTTGTGTGTGTGGATAACCTTTACTACTTTTGTTTTGTTTTGCTTTGCTTTGTTTTTTTTTTCTTAAAGAAATAACACAAATATACATCAATTTGCATACTAATTAAGCTTGAAAATGATATGAATTCTGGTGAAACCATCTTATGTAGATAACCTGAACCTGTTTCCTTTCTACCATTCATTATATTACTGTTATCCATTTCAGTAGTTTAAAGATTTCTATAGTGTACAGTCATCTGCGTACTATGTGTAATCTTGTTCAACGGTTTTATTTAGTGTTTTGCCTAACAGCTTTATCTTTTGATTCTTAGCATGACTAGACTATTTGGTACAGATAGATGACAATTTGATGCTGTTAAAATATGTATTCGGTGCTATTTATTGAGCTCTACTCAATCTTATCTATTATGTTATGCCACTCCATTTGCTTATTTAATTTTTTATCGAATAGTGTTTTCCGTATTGCATAATCGCTATCAAAAACTTACGATTTTAATTAACCTACGCGTATGCGATTGCATAGCTTTAGAATGATATCGTTGAAAAGAGTAACTCTTCGCTGAACGGCTCTTCTTTTGTATGAAGTTTAGTATTCCCTTTAACTGATCGAACTTTTATGCTACTCATAATCTGAAAGAAAAGAGAAAAGAAAAAAATATCAGAAAGCAATCATTAAACTAACGTAGGCTATTTATATTTGAGGGGATTTGAGTTATTCATTATCTTGCCATGCATAGCTATTGAGTTTTCGTCTTGTTAATTGTACCAACTCTGAAATATTTTCATTCTTTTCTTACCTATTGTTTGGCCTAAACTTTAATGTGTTTAAGAATTCAGCTACCTTGTGGAAATTTATTTACCGTGCACTAATCAGAAATGAGTTCATAAGTGGGCTTATGATGCATTTTTATTTTAAAATTGAGATAACATTAAACAGAACATGGTTAAAATATGATATTCATTGCTCTAATGCTCAGGTCGATGTAGCTTACTCCTATTGGATCAGTGTTTACACTCTCACACACTAGTAGTTATATCTAGTGTTAGATATTATAGTCAGTTTTCATAATCATACAAGAAAGCGGTATTTCTTTCACTATGAGTGATGCTAGATACCTTTTTATATACTCGTATTTGATTCTTCTATATTTCCACCCAAATTGCTGTGCTGTGCATGGTAAGCCCGATACATCATTGCTGTCAACCTTATCTATTAAGAAGTGAGAGGTCTTTCATAAATATATATATATACGACCTGGTATAGCCGAAGGTGGGTGGACTTCAGTCCTCCTTTCGAAATGCTCTGATGCGACCATGCGTTCATAGACTCTGCTGGGTAAGTCCTATTCGCTGCCTACACTCGGCAGCGGTGTTCCTCACAAAAATGAAAGGATGAATGCGAACGTCTGACGCTTATAACAGGACTAGTAGACATGCTGATCTACTAAGGGGAGATGAAAAATCTTGATTCGAAACCTGTGGTGTACATAGATTGCAGAATCCCAAAGGATCGATTGACGTATAAACCTTTTTCAGTTACCGGGATCCATGGGAACTCAGGTATTGACGCTACTCTACTGCCTTGTGGACCAGACTTTAAGTCCTTAAGACAACCATCTGCTTCCGTTAGGCCTTCTGGGGGCAGTATCACTTCCGTCATACAAACTATGAGGCAACAATTTTTGTGGTACGCCTCTTGGTAGTGATATACCAAGTTTGTGTCTATATAATAATAAAGCACATATATGAAATCAATTTGAATGGACTATGCTTCCAAATTCCATCACACATATAACTGTTTTTCTTCAATTTTCTCTCTCTATTTTTTATGTTTTCTAGTTTGAAAGTGCAACTTCACTAATTCAAGCTGCTAAAAATCTTATGACATCAGTTGTATTAACAGTAAAAGAAAGTTATATTGCATCAACTAAATATCGTGGACCAAATCAACGTTCTGTTGTCCAATGGCAAATGCGTACACCAGAAAAGAAATCTCTTATTTCAGATTATTATAAAGACTCATCTGATAGAGATGATCTATTCGATGATATAAATTCACGTCATCCAGATGCATTAAATGAATTATCTCAATTCAAACATCCACCAAATGCATAGTTATACTTTTACTCTTTTTATAAAATTGTTTTATATTACTTACAAGTAGCTGAAATGATCTCAAACTAATTTTTCTCACTACTTCCCGATATACTATACTATTGTACACTTGAAATATTTTGTACATATCAAAAATGCTTAGTGATTTATTTTCTGTCTTGAAGATGGATGATTTTCTATATTCAGCCATGTTGTTTTTAATAAAAATAATGAGTAACATTCAGGTTTTCACTAGTCTTTACATATCTTGCACACCAAACAGTTTTAAAATTATGTTGTATTTTTTTGATATGTTTTGTTTTCAATGCCTTCTTGACCGAACAACACTTTTATTTTGTTAGTCTGAACTAAATTCCCTGACTTCCTGAAGTGATTTCATTGTTTCTTTTTATTGGCATTTCAAAAGTGTTTTAATGCGTTGTTTATTTTTCAAATTTTTTGTCCGCCATTTTCAAATTCGCATTTTTAGAAAGTTATTATTACTATGTACTTTTTGCACAATACGATTACACTGTTCATTCTAGTTTGTGCTTTCTGTAAATAATCCGTATAATATTAGCTTTCTTTCAATTGATTTTTTACTCCTTTATTTTGCCTTGGATATATAATTTCTAACTACACTTGGTATTATTATCAGTTTATATTTTTTGTATGATTTGCTAGTTTTGTTTTTATGGTATTTAAACAATAATGATAAATAGTTTTTATAAAGGAAACATTGATTCTTCCTTTACTTTTTAAGCTTGGTCACGCTGCATTTCAGTAGTGTTTGTGGATGGTGTATTATGGTGTTTACGGATGTCTACACGTAAAGTATGCAGTTATTTTGTGTTTACTATAAGTGCCCGCTTGAAGATCTGGATTTCGCAGATGATATATGTCTAATGTCACACAAACTGGAAGACTTGCAGGCGGAAACCAACAAACTGGCTGAAGAGGCAGGCAGCGAAGACAGGACTCCAGGTGAACATAAAGAAGACGGAGGTGTTGAAGATAACCAACAGACCGTAACAACAACAATAATAATGAGCACCAATCACCATCATAACGTTACCTCCTTCACTTATCTAGGAAGCATCATTTCAACTACAGGTGGAACGGATGAATTTGTCAAAGTCAGAATTGGAAAGGTCAGATACGCGTTCATCAACCTGAAACCAGTTTTGAAATCTTCACTCCTCAGCATAAAGAACAAGATTCGCATTTTCAACGCTGATGTCAAGTTAGTAGGTGCTTCTATATGTCTCGGAAACTTGACGCGCGCGTCACGGAAACCATTTCCAACAGGATGCTACAGACTTTTATCAATAGCCACCCACTTCGTTGCTTAGCTCCATCTAGAAGATCAAATTGTCGGCCAGAAAGAATTAGCAACAAGAAACTATTGGGACAAACTAACCAAGAGCCGATCGCTCAACAAAAATGTAGGAGAAAATGGATATGGAGCTAGTTCGCCTTGTAACCAGAAGTTCCTGGGTTCGAACCCTGATGGGTGCGTATTGCTGAAGAGTCCCACACTAGTGGGACGAACAGCTAGCTGTCCAGTACTCCCAGCTGGTTTTCTAATAGTTCTTCAACCGATGTCAGCTCATGATGAAATCCTGTAACCAAATACTGTTTATATTGTGGTCAAAGATGGGTGTTTCAATCTAAAGAGATGGAACATCGAACTTGTACAATCTTCATGAATGATATAGGTATTTTGCTTTGCTAGAATGTCGCATCCTTTGGAAACGTCCAGAAGTATTTCATCTCGACTGAATAATTTATGATGAGTCACCCGTGAAATTTTAGTTGACCAATAATATTAAGTCAATACAACATACTACAGTCCGTTTAAAGAGGATAATTTTGTCGTTTATGATTAAGGGAAATAATTTTAACACTCATGGTGAAGTTCGAAAAGTTGTTTCAGAAAAAAATTACTTTTATGTATGTACTATGATCTATCCCAGTGGTGAAGAGAAGACACCAACTAATACATCTAACAACTGTACTGGGAGAAATTACTAACTCACAATAAATTACTATATACGTTCAAACTACAGGAGATAGTCTGCTGTTTCATTCTTAAGATATGACATGGATATTTAAGTCTTCAGCTTGGGTATTAATATCTGTAAGATGTTCTTGGTTGATAAGGTCTGTGTTATGAAGTGGAACATATGTAGAGATGATAAAGAGGTATGGGATTTCGCCATTTCCTCCCTATTCTAACTAAAGTTTTAGTCTAACACTAAGTAAATGACTGCTTCCGGGGAACTAATCTGGTATTGTAGGGCTACAGTGACGCCAGGAAGTTAAGACATCAACAACATAAATTCGTTGGACAAATGCACTTCTGATTCTAACATGGAAAACTTATCCGAAGAACCTTGCTGAAATTTTGTGTACTTGCCCCGTGAAATACATCTCTTCACAGTCCACGTCTGCATGAAAGGTCGAATAGTGAAGCCAGTAAGCATAAATGAAAAATGTTGGAGTACAAATACGAGTAGAAAACAGTAACTTTATACCGAATTGCATAACGAGGCTATAAGAAATTTTGTGTATTCGAATGGAACAAGGGGAACACTATGAATGAAGCGTCATCAGAATATAAATATGATGAAAGTTAAGTTTGTCGGTAAACACAGAGTCTCAGATATTGTACAGTAACTAGTAACATAAATTTTTCAAGTATTCTGGTGTTTTATATTGTCGTTTTCATGAGTGCAGATTTGTTTTTAATTATGTGCTTGTAGGGAAGATGGTTGTCATTTGTCCTGCATGCTATTTTCTCAGGTATTTGTTTTAGAGTTTCATCCACAATGAATTAAATTCACACCGATAATTACATTCTCGTGTTGACCTGACCAGTGACCATAGTAAACTAACCACCCATTTTGTCCAGATCGCAAAGCTCATATTCAGCAGTAATCTTTCTGTATTCATCGGGGACGCATTGGGCAAAGAACAGTAAATTATATGAATATTTAAAGTCTTTTTTCGTTATTCTGCAAGAGATGTTTTCAGTGTAAGAAATCCAGTTGAGTTCTCTAAACAGAAGTGCCTACTAATCATAATATTTGTTGATTTTTAAGTAACTCGAATCTTGATTTTGTTAGAAGTGACTTCTTTTCTTCAGGTAGAATCGATGTAGAAACTCTAACGTCTTGCACAGACGTGTTACAACTATTGTTGAAGTACTGTTTTGCATCCAATCAGTATTAGTCCCTCTAGAAAGTTCTTATGAAAATGTTGATGGATTTGAAGGATGTAGGAAAGAAGATTTGTGGTTTAAAACAGCCAGGATCAGATAAAATTTCTCCCATCTTGAAAATTCACGTTTCCAATATACAAGCTTTCAAAATAAAAGTATTCATAATGAGTCACTTTGCTTGTTTCTGAAGTCGAACAGTAGGATCTATCTTCATGAGGAAATAGAGTACAATGCTATATAATTTGAAATGTGATACAAAGAGATTGTTCAGTCGTTTGTACTCATCAATGACTCTTTTCTTATCATTTAATCTGGATAATATTTCAGAGATCCATTAACTTTTGCTGACATTTGTTTGTAGTTTCCTGTTCTTACTTCTGTTTCAACTGCACAGTGAATATTATATTATTAGAATGAGGAGTGCCTTCAACTTGAGATAAATAATGTCTATACGAGTTTGACCACGGATTGATATCAGTTAGAGAACCATTGAAAACCAGCCACAGGGAGTACTGGACAGCTGTTTCATCCAACTAGTTTGGGAATCATCGGCAGTACGCACCCACTGTCCAGTACTCCCTACTGGCTTTCAATGGTTCTCTAACTGATATTAATCCGTGGTCAAACTCGTATAAACAAATTTAATCCTTACAGATCAACTCTTGAAAATTAATCTGATGCTCGCTAGTGACTTGCTACAGGACGGAGTTTCCTGGAGTTCTAGTGAGAAGTCGTAACCAGTGAGGTCCATCCAGTCATTGGTTGGTGGTCGCGTTAAATCACGAATTGGTAGAAGTTAGAATTCATGGGTTGGCCATTGAATCGGGTCCCAGTGGCTGAATGGCTTACGAGTCAGCTTGACTTGCAACCTGAAGGCCACGGGTTAGAACCCTGGAGGTGGATGAGTACTGACGAGGATTCCTAAACTAGTTGGATGAAACAACTGTCTCTAACTAATATCAATCCGTAGTCAAACTTGATAAACAAATCTAATCCTTACAAACCGACTCTTGAAAGTAAATAATGTCACCTTTCTCCTCTACAGTTTATCATCAAATCAGATATTTTGAAACTTCTAAAGCTTAGGTCTCCTGTGTCTAGGCAAATATTAAAGCAGTACTGTCTAAATAAACATAAGAATACAGTTAAAGTAGGTATTCCAAATATAACCAAGATCTTTTGCCAATCTACTCTAATAAATGACTCACGATAGAGTGATTGTTTCATGTCCTCTGAGCATGGATATTTAGTTGCCATCAGTTTTTTTCAATAATAATAATAATAATAATAATAAAGCCTTATTTCAGACAATATGTGAACACACAGTACAGACATTTTCAGCGTATTTAATTTCAAATATTTCCTCTTCATATAGGATTGACATGTCAAGTAATAATATGAAGTATATCACATATGACGTAGTGTTGTTCCATATGAAGAGAGAATCAACTCTGTACATTCTTTTCTTCATTTCCTTCAAGAATTGCACAGCGTTTCACTGAAAGCTAATTAAATATGTGCGCGAGTCCATGTAGTGATCATTTGATATAATTGCATGATTAAAACAATAAGAAATACAGACGAGTTTAAGCATTTTGATGGATGGCAATTCTAGTAGCCGAGTGATTTAAGCAGGCCGCTGTTTATCTCTGTTAATAGTTGTTGTATAGAATGGGAGATTGTATAACGAAATTGAGGAAAATATACGATTAAATGTGTTCACAAACAGCATGTATTTTGGTGATCATCAAGGAGTCCAACAAAGTTAAGATGGTAATTTTAGGAGACTGTGGATACTATTCCATTGAGAGAGGCCACTGATAATGATGAAAGAGTGAGGAAAGAATGAAAGGAGTGTATGTGGTATGACGATGGTAACCAAATGAAGAGCTTATAATGAATATTTGTGCTACCGGATATGTAATGGAATATTCTAAAGGTGATTTGCGTTTGTTTTTCTCAACTATCCAACTCACGTTTCCCGCTGATCACATATCGTTTATCAGGAAATGTTTATTGTTCCAGAGTCATGCACATTCCTTGGATAAACTTGTAGATTATAACTGACCATCCTTAACTAAGAGGGATTCAGATACTCTGTACTTTTCTCAGCAGTTCTCTAATTAATTTCGATTCATGTCGAAGACTAATTAGAAATGAGTAAGTAGTCAATCCTTGACAGAATTTTCATCTGAGTAAGATTTTCATCTAACCACAGAAAATACAATCAAATTTAGATACATTTCTTTTCCAATACAAATGTTAATAGTGAGCAAATGAAAACAAATTGAACTTTATTAGACTTATACGCTTCACTGGGACCTATGGGCTTGTCACTTAATGTAACTGACTTCATCTACCACTATGTAATTTAACAATATATACAATATAAATCAATGAGATGCTCACTAGCGACTGGCTCTATTCAAGTAGGTAGTTACCCGTGGTTCTAGTGGGAAGCCATGACCAGTAAGGTACAGCACGTCGGGTGTGAGGAAAAATACTC